CAAAAAAAAGCTAGGCTGCATGCTGTACAATTATATAGAGCGCTCGCTCGCTGTAGAAACTAAACTAGGGAAGAAAAAAAAAAAAAGAAGGAATTACAAAAATACAAATGTTAAAAGAAGAAGAAAAATAGTTGGTCGAAATATGATGTGGTTTTTGTTTTCTCGTGTGCCATTAGAATGCCGCCCCCCCTCCCCCTTCCAAGTTCTCTTTCCCTCCCCCAGACTCTCCCCATTCGCTCAACTCCCTCTCACTCTCGTTTCGTTTTCATCTCATCTCATCTCATCTCATCAACCCCATTCTCCATTCTCCCCTTAACCATCAATCATCCCCGCCCCCAAAAAAAAGCACAACTGCAAACCTAAGCCCTTCTGTCCAAGATACTGATAATCTCGATATCGGCGTCATTCACGGCATCCTCAACCGTGATTGGGACCTTGATGAGCTGCTCATGATCATCACGCCTGCTCAAGATTTGGAGAATCTCGAGATCAGCATCGTTCAAGACGTTCTCCAAGTCGATGGGGATGAAGATGAGTGTCTCCTCCTCGTCCTTGTCGTTGCCCTTCTTGTCGCCGCCCTTCTTGTCGTTACCCTTCTTGTCGTTACCCTTCTTGTCGTTGCCCTTCTGGCCAAGGCCGCGCTTGCTCAGGATTTCCAAAATCTCGATATCAGCATCATTCAAGACGTTCTCCAAGTCGATGGGGATGAAGATGAGTGTCTCCTCCTCGTCCTTGTCGTCGCCCTTCTTGTCGTTGCCCTTGTGGTCGCTGCCCTTGTGGTCGTTGCCCTTCTTGTCGCTGCCCTTCTTGCCCTTGCCCTTCTGGCCAAGGCCGCGCTTGCTCAGGATTTCCAAAATCTCGATATCAGCATCATTCAAGACGTTCTCCGCGTCGATGGGGATGTGGATGAGTGTCTCCTCCTCCTTCTTGTCGTTGCCGCGCTTGCTGAGGATTTCGAGGATGTCGAGGTCGAGGTTGTTGAGGACGTCGTCGAGGGAGATGGGGATGTTGATGAGGGTCTCTGTGGAACTGGATTCCTCTTCTTCTTCATCCTTGTCGTGATGTGGCTTGTCGTGATGTGGCTTATCGTGATGTGGCTTCTCGTGATGTGGCTTCTCGTGATGTGGTTTCTCGTGATGTGGGGCAGTGGTGGCGGGAACCTTGGGTTTGGGGGTCAGGACTGGTGGGAAGTGCGGTTGGTCGCCGCGGCGGGAGAGGATGCTGAGGATGTCGAGGTCGAGGTCATTGAGGACGTCTTCGAGGTTAATTGGGATGTTGAGGAGGGTATCGAAGTCACGCTTGTACTTTAGGAGCGTTGCGACTTCCTCGACGGTTGTGGCGGTCATGGGGGTTTTCTCGACTGGGAGACAGTCAAGGCCGACGGTCCTCTTCCAGACTGCTGCTGCGCCTTCACCGGCTACTACCTCCTCGGTGATGGTTGGGCAAGGGGGGAGTTCGGTGACGGCGGGGAGGCCGTGTTCGCGCTTGCTGAGGATCTCGATGATGTCGAGGTCCAAATCGTTTGCGACGTCTTCAGCCTCAATTGGGAGTTCAATGAGTGTGTCGACGCGCTTGCTGAGGATCTCGATGATGTCGATGTCCAGATCGTTTGCGACGTCTTCTGCCTCGATTGGGAGTTCAATCAGTGTGTCGACTGGTAGACTGTTGGTTTTGGGAGAATATGTCAGTGGTTTGCGTGAAGATTATAGATGAAGCAGAAGAGGACTTACGGAGCAGCGTTAATGACATATGGAAGGGCGACCATAAGGAAGCCTAGGAATGGAGCGAACTGCATTGTGAAGGTGTTTTGCAAGAAGAAAGCTGGGCTGGAATGGGTGTATATGCGAGAGGAGGATGGTCGACAGAAATTATAAAGGTTTTAGGACTGGTTTATAAATTATTGATGCTGATGAAGTGAAGAGAATGCCAAAGATGCTTGAGATGCTGATGCTGATGCTGATGCTGTCTATGATGCCGTGATTATGATGCTCAGTGTAACTGAGATGCTTTGCTGGATGACTGTGATGAGAAGAAGACTAAACGGGGAGAATCTGGCTCTACTTTATACCTTCTTTCCCGTCACAGAGACTATCGTTAACCACCTCCAATCGTGTGTGGGCCTGTACCCATTGTCAAGGAGGCTGTAGGCCGATCCTCAGGCACCGGCTTCACGATAATACACCGAGGGAAGGGACTGAAGGGATGCGAAGTTCATAATTTTCAAGCGGTGAAGAGTTTCAACGGAGTGTAGTCTCGTCACACGGAGTGAAAGGCGGCGTGGGGATAAGACCAGATGCGGTCGGAGAGCAGTGTCCATTACGGCCCAAAGGGGTAGTCGGCAAGTCCTAATATGGGTTAGTGTATATTGACTCAACCTCGACAGCCAAGTCCCGCGAGCGCCCTCACCTGAGGCCAGGAGAAACGTTACCCTCACTTCACATCCCTTCAATAAAATTACGTGTACCTTTAGATCCGCATGTGTACAGGGCCGGCCTGATCTTCCGCCGAAGGCGGCCTCGTCCCGCTACGGCAAGGGCATTTAGGAGCCACTCTAGATCTCTCCACGCTGCGAAGCCCCAGCACCTCACACGTCGCCGACAAATGAAATAGACTAATGACAGCGCATAGGCAACTGTAAGGGAGAAGAGAAGCATAGCTCGAAGCAATCCCTCACTGCGGTATACTCGCTTAAAATAAATCAAATGAAAATCCGCAACATCCGCCGATGTAAGGAGCCTAGCAAAGGATACATTAGGTAGGTACCTATCAATATCCCTTCCTTCGACGGCGGTACCTGACTAGCCTCGTTCCCGTACCTGACAGCGTGCAATAACTCGTTCACGGCAACTTGGGCAAACAATTACCTCAATAGGCATCTCAATTCGCCTTCATGGCTTAATGGTAAAGCGCATCACTAGTAATGATGAGATTCTGTGTTCGATTCACAGTGAAGGCATATCACCATCCAACGCGAGTTTCATTTTTGTTCGTTTTGGTATTTTTGTCATTTAGCCGAGCTGAGAAAAGACACGTTGAGCACAAAGGTTTTTCCAGGCTGAGGTTTTTGAAATAAGCTCAAGTTTGAAATTAGCTTCATGCGGGCATTTAGCTACATTTAGATAGTCTCAATTTTAGACACGACATAGTCTCGTGCCCAGACCCTCGTAGAGGGACACGACAACAAACAAGCTTCTTTGAGTTTATAGCCTAATTCGGTAATCGTGCTCGCTTTTTTTCAAAGAATGTCTTTCGAATCCACAGGAAGACTAGTCCCGTGCCCCCATGAAGACGAGAACACAAATGATGAATTCGAAGTCCGTGCATATACGCAAGTATTAAGCAGTACTAAGTATCTAACGAGGGCTTCATTCAGACCTTATAAAGTAGACATCGATTCTTGCTAATACCCCCAATCTCGAACCCGACTAGTACCCATCAATTATTCATATGGATGTGTATCATACATAGTATCGTGAGAAAGAAAACGAAGTCGAAACAAAACATATATACTCCAGAGCCCATAAGTTCGAGCTCCGTGCTAAATGGTTTAATAGAGATCAAGAATGAGCGATATCAGGACTAGAAGTCAGGTAACCTCGACCCAGGCCTCAGTGGGGTTCAAGTATACATCTAGTCTCGTTACCGTCGAACCTCAACACAAAACCTCGAGCTCAGCAAGAAACCCCGACGCAATTGCAGCTAAACTTTCCAAAAAAAATCCCTAACGCAAGCTTAAGCTAGCACCGCAAAGATGTTTTTTTGTCCAGACCGCATACCTTGGCAGTCTCGTGCCTTACCTTGGGTAAACTAAAACCGCACTCCCGTGCCGCCTACTCCGCCGGGTAAACTCAAAACCTCTCTGCGCATCCACAAAACATCCACCAACTTTGCAAAAAAAAAAAAGATTTTTACAACACCCGAGATGCTCGAGATGTAGTATAGTAGCCTGAATGACTGCCTTCACTGTGAATCGAACACAGAATCTCATCATTACTAGTGATGCGCTTTACCATTAAGCCATGAAGGCGAGTTGAGATGCTCATACAGGCGATGCTGGGGCTGCGATTGGATGGATGGGATGTCGAAAGTCTCATATTTGACTTATTCGGGAGTTTGCTTCGTGGGCTGGACGCTAGTTCTAGATAAGATGCCGATTAGTTTTTAGAGGGTGTTCTCTGGTTCTCGTTTGCGAGGACACGAGGACAGCCATAGGATGCCAGGTATCGCAATGTTGGAAGTGTTCAAATTAAGATTTTTGGGGGTAAATCTCTAAATACTTATTTGTGTATTGATCAATACTAATAGATGCTGCTCACAACGATTCATAGTGAGCCTTTAAATTATAGTGCGTATATCGATGAGGGATAGGGCTATATCCAGATCTGTGAACGGGGAACGAGTAAAATATTTGAATACACGGACATGTGGAGATCAATTCCTCGTCAGTTTGAGTGTAGTTAGGCACAGAGATGTACTGAAGGATGGAACGAGACCGAGCCTAGGCACGAGAACAGATCTAGAACGAAACCACTGCAGACCGTTTATTCAGAATCTCATTATTACTAGTGATGCGCTGTACCATGAAGCCATGAGGGCGTATCTAGATGCTTTGAAGGGTGCCAGGGTTGCAATGCTCGGCTTACTAGACATAGCACTCAACCTCATTTTGAAATACATGGGCTATTCCATGCGGTCTGCTCATACGCGCAGTTTTGCCCTCTACGAGGGTCTGGGCACGAGACTAAGTTTTGCCCGATTGTTAGAAGCCTGTACACACTGTTGTGGCAGGCGCAGAGATATTTGGGTCATTATTGCCTACGGGTTGATGGTGCTCGAGTAGTTACCTACATCGCACTTCGGAAGGACCCCAAGCGGAATCTTCGGCCCGTGATCGCGGTGAGGACATCGGCACCACTTAGACTCGCCACCACTGCGCATTTTAAAATGGGGACGACACCAAATGAATACTAAAAAAATAGATCTGATTGCTCAGATTCTAATGCCCTCACTGTGAATCGAACACAGAATCTCATCATTACTAGTGATGCGCTTTACCATTAAGCCATGAGGGCCCTTTGTCATGTGATACAGTGGCGTAAGGATTCCCATGATACATCGGAACAACCTAGGCCTAGGGTAGAATGAATAAGTAGACCTATATTTGCATATTGCATCTTTTTTTTTTTTCTCGATGACGATGGAAGCAGGCAAGAAGCTTCGAAGAGGATGTGGAAGAAAACATAGAGAAGTAAAAGCGAACGGTTGAGAAATCAAATCTTTGACTGAAAGAAGATCGAGATCTCGAGCTCGAGAGACTACCTCGCGATCGCTAGAAGATGCTAATATGTGATTGAGAGGTTTAAACGAATTCAGGTCTGGATTCAAAACAGATCTAGAGCTACAATACTAGCATGTTTCATCTTCCTCCTTCGTACAAAAATCACAAAGATCCCACTCAGTTTCATACTCACAGACATAAACACAATTTTCCCCCCAATTATCGTCAGTAGCAACAATACAATAGAATTCAACTACACATATCGTGACGTTGCAACATTTGCAGACTATAACACGTATAATACACATGCCGACGTCGTATTTTTTGAAAAAATCGGGGGGAATGCCGAGAGCTTGGCCTAGGACTGGAAAGCTGATTTAATTCAAAGAAAATCTTGTTATCGAGAGGAACTTCAGTAGCTTGATCTGGTTGCAAGAGATATAGATCTGATCCGTCGTGAAAGATACTATAGCTATAGCATTGATACTTATACCAGAGAGTTATTATAAGTACCTCCTACCCAGACTACCTCCTACCGTGTATAACTACTTTGTAAGTGGCCGAGACCGGTTACACCAGAACAGGTTACACCGAGGCATGTGTATGCTCCCAGATCAGCCTTGATTCAATTACAGGATTCATAATTAGGACTACGCACGAGCACTAAATTCTCTTGAATGATATAAATTTCAAAGATGCAATCAGATCTCTCACGTAAAAGATTTAAAAGTCGGGTTTCGATGCCCGTTCAATATTCAGAATTTGCTCTACATTATGTAAATCTTAACAAAAGCAATATGTGGACCAATTTCATTCAAGCCTCATTACAAGAACATTGTCTTAGAACCTCTATAGACCGTCCTTGTCGACATCATGATCATCCACTCACAATATACTGGTTCTTTCGTGAGAAAAAACCTGTTCAATCATCTTGATATACTTCGCCGTACACGTACGATTCTAATTTTCATGGAAGTGAACTTAGGTTTCCGTGATATCCATGTGAAAATATGCTTTTTACGTCTCTCCCCTCAATTGATAATCCGCATATTGATCAGGAAACGGGAAGCTCTAGACCAACACTTGCGGTAAAAAATGTTTAGCCACCTCTTAACATGAACGTTAAACATTCAATGCAATATTGCTCAATCGGAACAATTCACATGAGACTATTCAAGGCTCAAGGAAAATTCGTCTCAAGAGGGAATTCATGCAAATTGCCAACGGATATAAAAGATGGTTTCTGATCCGCTGCGACCTCGAGCTCTCTCAATTATCCCTCGCTTCGACAGATTAGTTTCTTAGTATTGTGCGTATATCCTAACGATATCGATAAATTTACCTGGCAATCTATAGCTATTCCTTCCAACATAGCGTATACCGAAAAAGCATACTTAACTATTGACACAATTTATCTGCTTACTATAGCTAGAATCACTTCAAGCACCTAATTATAACCATCTCTAGGCCTGACCTCGAAAAAACGTTTATAAATCACAATTCCACACTATAATTAACCAGCACCAAGTATTACAAAATGTGCAACACTACGGAGACATATTGTGGGCTCTGTGAATTATGGATGGCAACAGCTCTCAGCTTGTGTGAAGAGGCTATCGAAAAAGGATGGGATGATGGTTGTGGCATTTGTTATGGTTCAACCGACTATGTAGAAATGTGTAATCGTTGCGAAGAGAAGGAGGAGGAAGAGGAAAAGGCTTCAAAAGAGCAGGAAGAAAAGGAAGCCGAGGAAAACGCTTCAAAAGAGGAAGAAGAGGAAACAAAACCGAAAAAGGGAAAGAGGGTATCCTTCGCTGATCTACCGTAGATCTATAGAATCGGGGCGATAAGCACATGTGCTTAGAAGATTTTTGCAGAGCGAGGCAATGGAACTTGCGTGCTTGTAGACCCGAGCTAGCTTATAGCCAGGACTGTGCTTATACCTAGGCACAAGAGTATTTGAAGTTTTGGTTTTGATGTTGATTGATCGATAAAAGTGAACAAGAACTCAAAATTTATAGTAGTTCTTCCTTCCTTTTTTTACTCCCGACATGCTCTAATTTCTTGTTTAATCCTCCCGACATGCCCTATTACTTGACATTTTCTCTTCACATCTTAGTGCTTATAGCCTGACACAAATCAATTCAGAGCCGAGGTGCAGTTTTTCCGTGCTTATAGGTCAGTATGTGCTTATTGAAGTGTATGTGCTTATCGCCCCGATTCTACGGTAGCCTCGTACCAGTGGGAATACCTGTAGATTATGATCTTGAAAGTACTACCACTCTACCACTGGAATTAGACCAATAGGGTGACTGGTACATAGGTTTATCAATAGCCATCAAGATAGGAAACCTCTTATAATTACGTTCTCTCATTTCAAACTTCTGCTATGCAGAGATCAACCATCAAGTACCTCGTCGGAGCTACTAGGCTGTAGATCGATACATCATATATATGTCTTGTTTATAACGTTAACGTGCCCCTTTAATTGACATGTAAATTTAAAAGACCAAGATGCCAAATTAGTGGAATCCATCCAATTGAACTACCTGCAGTCATATCGGAGCTGGTAACACCTACATGTAGCTCAAGCTTGATAGCAACATTTCTCCCGCCATAGATCTCCGTCAGGAAAGTACATATATATTAAGTGTTGCCTTACCCGAGTAATCATAAGTCGATGTCATATAACATTGAATGCAGATGCATGCAGCACCACCTATAGCTAGTAATTGAATTTGAAAACAAAATAAACTATGGATATATATAAGTACCCTATAAGAGATGTTTCCTGATCTCAAAATTCATTCCTAACTACAATTCTGTCTCATAATTCAACATCAGCCAAAGCAGTGATATCGTGATTGACACTCCAGTTTTCTTTCAAAAGTAAGAACATGAATCTAGATCTTCCAGAATACGTATACGTAGCTGCAATATATGGATTTCAGCTAATGCATATATATCCGAATTAACCCACAGGAGTACCTAGGTAGTTAGTATTTCTACATCACATCCTCGCGCAGCCGCACCTTGCCAAGTATGTGCGTCGTGTATCAATATGTTTGCATGGACTGCGACGCAGATGTGGATGAAGAAGTGATTACATTCTGCACCTTCGCTTTAAGGGAAGGACTTGAATCAACCTGTGGTGACACCGTTGTGCTAAGGACCAATGACGATCTCTGCAATGAATGTAAAGAATTCCTGTTGATGCAAAAGTTGGTTCGTGAAGGTTTGGAGAGGGACGAGGAAATCACGGGCGAAAATTTGGAATCCGAAGAAGATCACGACGATACGGGCACAGATCTAGACGAAGAGTCAGAAGAAGAAGAAGAAGAAGAAGAGAGAAACCATGACCAAGTGGAAGGGGGCGACGTTCCGGAAGATCATCCAAGGAAGAGACAGAAAACTTCATGAAGGTTGGAAAAGAAGATCAACAAGAGGAGGGGAGTTTGCGGTAGTGGGGCAGGAAACGGACAACGAGGTGAATTGTTGGCGGGGTTTTCTATATATGCAGACTTAGTTACAGTATATAGCTACCAGGTGTAAGATTGTCCCTTTTATATGATTCATACTATGATAGCATCTATATATAACATTCATGTACTTTCGTGATCTTTGCTCAGTCTCGTACCAGAAGTTTGTAGTCTTTGCTTATATATGTATTGATCAATAGATCGTATCTCTCCCATAAGTCGATTGCAGTTTCAGTCCGTTCGCAGCAGACTTGGGTTGTAGGAATCTGATCAGGTGCTTTGTCACACCTTGACTACTCAGGCATTCTTCTTGAGGAAGCTTCAAGAATGGTCATTCAATTCATATAAATTACCCGGCAATGGAAAGAAATTTGATTCGTTGTACTTCCATACATACTTAAGTATATATATGGCAAGCTAGGAAACGGCAAAGACCCAGTAGCAACAACGATATATTTATGCTATCCTTTCAAACACTCGCTGCTCGGCAATATATCTACTTGGATTACCACCAGGTCTAGATTACCATACCATTCTATCCAGCAAGCATCGATCTCAACAAACAGGGATACCAAGTCAGATCAATATTGTCACGAAATCCCACGACCCATCTTGTTACAATATTGCCCACAATGTGTTTCGTCAACACACATTACTGCAAGCACTGTGGTCTCTGGATGAGCCTTTTCGAAAGCTTGAACGAGTGTGATACTGCACTTGCAAATGACAAGTTTTGCCGCAATCCAGAAAAAGTCGAACATCATGATATGGTTTGTTTAGGATGTGAGGAGAAAATCAAACGAGACGAACAGGAGCTCGAGAAGTCGATGCAGGCGATGACAGTGGAGCAGAAGGAGTGGGTACTAGAACAGGTGGATCGGTGGGAACAAAAGATGCAGGAAGAAAAAGACAAAACAGTGGCGCAAACGGTGCTTACATGGGGCAAAGAGGAGGAGATTGAGGCAAAGGAGAATGAAGAGGAGGAGGAGGAAATGAATGAGGGAGAGAATGAGGAGGAGGAGTGTGAGGAGGAGGTTGAGGAGGAAGAGGAGGAGGAGGAGGAGGGGGGTGAGGATAGCTCAGATTGCGGCTCAGAATGGTAATAGTTTTTCAACATCTAGCATTATAAGCAAACTTGGTGTCAATAAGAATTCAGACTTGGAATTTCATCAGCAAGTAAGCTTGCAAGGTGTGATTGATATCACGCACCAGTACCGAGAACTGCACATCTACCTAATTGCCATGAAAAACCTACGGAAAGATAAAAGGATCCGAGGATCCCGGGCTCAATCACTGCGTTTTCAATGGATAGCAC